GGAAGAGCAACTACAAGACATGACCATCAACCGTGATCTTTACAAGATTGCCATGGAGGACATGTGCTATCAACTCCAAGTTGAGAAGCAAAAGAGCCAAGCTCTTGTTGAAGAGGACACCGGCTTGCGTGAGGTTGTCATTGACATAATCGCTTTGGTGACTCAATTTGAGGGAAAAATGGCCAAGACTCGTCACCACATTGCTCAAAGGGCCCATCCGATTGAGAGGGGAATTTTCCAACCAGTCTTTGACTTTATCATTGACATGTCCAACTTTGTACTGTAATGAAGACTTGTAAGCACTTTGAATGCAACTTTGTACTGCTTGCTAACTTTGTTTAAAGTGCGGTTATCTAGTAATAAAAAGTCATGTTTTAGCACAACTCATTGTAAAACGGGTGGATATCTTCGTACCAGATGGAAACACCAATGTGGGAATCCATATGGAACTTCAAAGGGGAAACTCATGTTCCAATAAAAAGGGGCTAAAATCTCTTTAGTTTTCTAATTTTTCCTTTTTGTCTTTACGTTTTTGTTGTAGGTAAAAAGTCTTCTAATCATAGCTCAAGGTGAAAGTTCTTCAAAAAGCAGCGTTCTCCGTATTTGCTCAGATCTAGGGTAATCAAAATGTTCGAGGAAAATGCTGCTACTAATCTAGAAAAATTAGTCGTGGATGAGAGGGTTGATAAGTTGGAAACTACAATGCAAACTATGGCTGCTACTCTTCAGACCATCAATCTCACTTTGTCCACTTTGACTACTGGTTCGGTTCCTTCACCTGCATCCTTAATACCCACAATACCAGTTCCATGTGTCCCTACCATCACACCAGGTAATCATGTTAAAGATCCCATGGTCACACAATTGCAATTTCCACATATTTATGAGAATCAGCCTTTAGTGGGGGAGTCATCTTCACATGCTCCACAAATATCATCTCTGCCCTTTGAAGCCTCATACCCACCATTCGAGATGAACAACCCTACCTTGCCCACAACCACACCTCTTACCCTTAACATACCACCCTTGATGGGCCAAGTGCCAACTATTCAACTCAACCCCTCGGTTGTGATGCTAAGGCCTGCTTTAGAAGATGGGAAGTCAAGAAAGGTTGATCACAAGCTGCAACAGTTAGAAGAGGCTTTGAAGGCTATGTAAAGGCCGCAAGCCTATGGTTCCGTTGATTTGGATGATTGTTGTTACTATCCAGGAATTTAGACAAATTTCAAGTTCAAGCAGCCAAATTTTGACAAGTATGATGGTTTATGTTGTCCTTATGCCCATTTGCAGATGTATGCCAAGAAAATGGCACCTTATGCTAATGATGAGAAGGTGCTCATTCATTATTTTCAAGACAGTCTCTCAGGCCCAGCAAGTGTTCGGTTTTCAACACTTGACAAGAAAAAGATTCGCACTTTCAAGGATGTGTCTCAAACTTTCATGAGGTAGTATGAGTATAATATGAGTCTGGCCTTTAGAAGGGATAGCTTGCAAAGAATTACCAGGAAGAGTAATGAGACCTTCAAAGAGTTTGCTCAAAGGTGGAGATCCGAAGCAGCCAAAGTAATTCCACCCCTTGCCAACAGTGAAATCTACTTTCTCTTTATCAAGTCATCTACCGAGACCTTCCGTGCATGGTTAGCTCCTTGTGTGGGATATAATTTTGCTCAGTTAGTGATAGTGGGTGAACAAATTGAAGATGGACTGAAGACGGGTATTATCATGGACTTTCAAACCATTTAGAGGCAGTTAGAGCAAGCCAAGATGGGAAGCTTGGGGTCTACTTCAAAGAAATTTACACCTAAAGGGCAGAAAGAAGATGAGGAAGCTTTAAATCACATTTTCACCAATCATGCCAAGCCAACCTATAATGTGGCAAATGTTCTCCATAATCGACAACCTCAATCACAATACACTCAGACCTTTAAACTGACCAACTATTCTTAGAGAAGGCCAAACTTTAATACTCCACCTTCGGTTAGACAACAATTCTCACATGCAATGAAGCCAAGACAGTTCATGAGGCTTCCAATTCCTTATAGTGAGGTGTTGAAACAGCTAGTTGCAGTGGGTTTGTTGGAGACAGTGCAAGCAAACCCTGTTCAACCACCTTATCCGTACTGGTATGACTCGCAAGTTAGGTGTGAATATCACAATGTAGTGGGTCATGATATTGAATAATGTGCAACTTTAAAACATAAAATCCATAACCTCATTGATGAGGGTAAACTTCATCTTGATACTAAATGAGCTAGAGGAACATCAAATATCACCCAAAATCCTTTACCTCCGCATGATGCAGCACAATGAATATGGTCACTTTTGATGGAGTTGAAAAGCCGGTGTTGGAGAATACCAGTTCTTGGTCTTTGGATGAATTGTTTGTCATTTTGATAGAGTATGATTTGGTTCAGCCAATTGAACCAACAAATTTGAATGCTTTGCCAATGATTATTGATGATGCTTTAGTGTGTCTGTATCACTCCAATATGAAGGGGCATACTTTGCAAGATTGTGGAGATTTTCAAAGAAAAATTACGGAGCTACAGAGAATGGGATCTTTGGAGCTTATGTCTACTCTAGAATCAGAGAAATTCATAACACCAGTGACTGAAGAATACTTCACTAAGGAGAGGCCTTACATTTTGCAAGATACTACAAAAGCACAAGTCATCAATCAGAATTCACAACAGCCTTATGTCTTGAAGACCTCTCTTAGTGAGTCATTCATGGGAAAGACATCCTTTGTGGCCAATAGCCATTTTCCTTACTCACTTAAGGTTATAACTCAGCGCTCTACCTCTTAAATTCCACAGCCAATGATGTGTCTAATATGACCTGCAACGGTTAGTGTTATGTGAATCTCGAAGTGGAAGAGTTAAGAAGGGCTGCCTTGAAATCAAAAGATATCAAAATTGAAGAAATGCTAGAAGAATCACCCAATAAGCTAGTGTCAAAAAAGGAAGTTGTAGAATTTCTGAATATTTTGAGGAAGAGTGAGTATAGCATCATTGAACAGCTCAACAAAACCCCTGCAAAAATTTCTATTTTAGAATTGATGTGTCATCTGAGGTTCATCTTGACGCATTGCTCAAAGTCTTGAAAGAAGCCCATGTGCCTAAGAACATTGATACTCAGAAGTTTGGGACTGTGGTTGGGGCAATCTTGGCTCCAAATTATATTAATTTCACAGATGATGAGATTCCCGATGAAGGAAATGGACATACTAAAGCTCTACATATTTTAGTCCAATGTAAGATGATGAATGTGCCTCATGTGTTGATCGACAATGGGTCAAATTTGAATGTGATTCCTATGATTGTTTTGAAGCAGCTTTGAGGAGGGGGTACAAGAATCCATCGCAGGACTACATCGCAAGAAGTGATGATACTCATCAATAGTGGGCACCAACTCAAACTATGGGAACACAAAAGCTTGCTATTCCAGTACATTTCAACATAGCTCTGAACAAATTCCATTATGGCACCACTGACAATAGATCACCAATGCACCCAAATCGGACCTCAAAGTCATGCTTCTTCCTAGAGGACAACAAGCCATAAGTCTCTTTCAACAACTTCAAGTCGGGTTTGGAGGTATTAACTAAAAAGATTGACTCCCTAGCTCTCTTAGTAATAGAATGAGATGTGACATCTTCACCAAGTCTCCTCCCTTGTCTAGTTGTATCCTCGATAAAATCCATGTCTAATGCATGATCTTACCTAAACACAAGGCTTAAAAGAGGTAAGCCAGAAGCAGTTCCTGTAGCTCCCAATATGCATGAAAATTTCTCAAAAGATGATGACTATGATTTTCTCAGAAGGCAGGAAACAAGCAAAAGACAAGATACAAAAGGAGCTCACTAAGGTAAAGTCTATGGTTCAGTATCCAGAAGGCAGAGAGCAATATTGCAGACGACAGACTGTTAAATGTTGTCATTGAGATCCAAGAGAAAAAGGTAACTAAATGTTTTCTTTCTCTAATTTTTTATTTGTAGTTTTCATAAAAGATTTCACAGAATGTTTTACACAATCCTAAATTGGAAAGTTAGACATGTTTTAATTTTTCATAAACATCTTATGAAATTATGGCTAGCAAGATCAGTTTATCTCATGGATCTGCTACTGAAGGAATTAAGAGCATTTGAAAAGTTGGGGTTACATTTTACATGTTTTACTTGTTCCAGGGGTTACCTTTTTTTGATATATGGAAAAATATCTCTAGTTTTTTCTTTGTACAATAGCCAAATAGGGTTAAACAGTTTTGACGTGTTGAAATGTAGGTTTTTTTTTTTTTTAATGCAGGTTTGTATGAACTTGTTTCTTTTAACTGACTTTGCAGGTCAGTGCACCAGGTCTAATTGGTTTTGATGAAGACCTGATAGATGTTGAAGCATTATTAGAGTATGATGCTTTCATGGCTACTACAACTTGAGACATCTTTAAAACCGCAGATAATGAAATAAACTTACCAGAGATTTAGAAATGCCAGCCAATTGCTGGTGTGAACATAGGCATGTCTCTCCAAAAGCACTTGTGGGTCATTGACCTCAAGTTCTTTCTAGGATTGTTCTACTCCTGTGATTGTCTCCATAATAAACGCACACCAAAGCAGAGACACACACCAAATTACATGCTGAAATGTTCAAAAAATAACAGTATTACTCATAGATGAGAAATACTAAAGTCATGGGCCATTTTGTGGATAAGGGAAGTTTAGGTATTTCAGGTTTGAACTCAACTTCCACCTCAAATTTAGGTTTCGAAGTTAGTGGGTGCAACTTTGTTGAGGTCCTATAAATTGTATTTCCTCTAATTGTAAGAAGTGATGAAGTGTGAAAGCTGTTTTCTTCTTCCTCTCTTCCATGTCTCTTGCTTTCCTAACTATACTTCTCTTAATCTTATCTCAAATCTTCTAAATATCTGTTCCTCTTCTACGATGTCACTTCTTGTTACCACTTAAATGTAGATGGTTTATTTTCTTGTAATCTACAGAAAAAATATTTTCAATTGCATAATTGTTATATTTTCTATGTTTTACCAAAAAGAAAAAGAAAAAGAAAAAAGAATGAGGAAAAGAGAAGCATAACTGATGTAAATTAACATTTGTTGTCTCTATAACTCCAATTACTAATAGAGCATATCAGTACAGACTGAGTTGCACGAATCATGAATAAAAACCCAAAACTTATTTCCCCTTTTATAGACCCATAATTTGAGTTTGATGTGAGTCTAAATGAACCTGAACGTAAATGATCCATTATTGGTCAAATGTGTAAATTTTTCTTTAAAATTATTGCATTGAAATAAATCATTACTCAAAAAATCATAATATAATTTATCATTTTAAATTTTTATTTTTAAAAAATTAACTTAAATTTAATAATTATCATTAAACTTTATTTAATTATTGCTTTTGAAATTTAATGAAAAGTTAACAATAGCTATTAAATATAAGTCAAATTTTAAAAATTAAAAGGTTTAAGTACCATTTTAGTCCCTCAACTTATCACTTTGGCACCAAAATTGTCCCTCAGCTTTAAAAAGTACCAAAATTATCCTTAAACTTTTATTTTTGGTATCAAAATGGTCCTTCCGTCAGTTAAATGCCAAGTGGCTCATTAAGATGCCACAAAATCACCAGGGTTTTTTTTTTATTTTTAATGACGTGTAAATCCAACAATGACATTTTTGACACCGTGGCATTTTTTTACACTTCAGATTGTCATTTTCTCCTTTCTCTTTTTAGTGGGGCCCACATAAAAATTTTGTTTTCTCTTTTTCCAATTTCAATCAAGTTCCCCAAAAATCACAAGTTATCTTCGTTTCTCTTTTCATTTCCTTTTCAAATTCAAAACCCTAAACCTACTACTACTCCTGCAAAATTAAAATCAAATATCACCCCAAACCCACCCTCACTCTCCAGCTTCTTCAGTGAATTCAGCTCAACAACTCAATATCCCTCTGTTCTGTTCTGTTCTATTCAGGTTTTTCCCTCTTTGCTTCGAGTCCGTTTTTCGTTTTTTACCTTGAGAATCGATTCCATGGCTACCGCGCTGGCTACAACTGCGACCGCACAGCCGAACTTCTATTTCGACAAGAAGTGGAAGCTGTCGAAGAAGGAAGGTTCATCTCGAAGTCGATCTTCAAATTCGTCGCTCATGAAGAATTCGTCGTAGCGGCGGTATTCTTTCACCAGAAAATGCGCGCGATTGGTTAAAGAACAAAGAGCTCGATTCTACATCATGCGACGCTGCGTCTCCATGCTCATATGCTGGCGCAACTACAGCGATTCTTGAATCAAGGACACCGGGGCATGGAGATCCCATCAGGCGGTGACCATCTCCCGTGAGAGGCTTCATGGCCACTAGATTTGGGAATCCGACGACCACCTTTGGAGATCTGCGTAATGGGCTGGTAGCCACCGGATCTGATAACAAACAAGCAAAACAACCAGATAAAATAGAAAAAAAAACAAGAAAAAAACAAGAAAAAAAGACCACCAGAAGGGGTCCAAAAGTCGACAGACCCCAAAAGGGTCATCGGAACTGGGAGCATGAAATCGGCTCCATCATGCTTGAGCAACCCGAGATCCCGGCAGCTCAAGCATCAAAAATCCGGCAAGCCCAAGGGCTGCCGGGCACAAAAAGGTGAGATCTGGGGAAGACGAAAGCAAAGACTGGAGGATTCTAGAGAAGAAAGAGAAAGGAGAGCAGATCTTGGTTTGATCAAACCCAGATCTGGAGAGTAAGAAGAAGAGAAAAGAGAGGAGAGAAAGAATAAGAAAAGTTAAAAAATTGTTACATGGGCCCCATTAAAAGGGAAAGTTAAAAATGTGATAATATGATGTGTAAAAAAATATGCCATGTGTATAAAAAATTTTCTTGCTGGATTTACACATCATTAAGATTTAAAAAAGTAAATGATTTTGTGGCATCTTAATGTGCCACCTATGCACTTAACTGACGGAAGGACCATTTTGGTACCGAAAATGAAAGTTTAAGGATAATTTTGGTACTTTTTAAAGCTGAGGGACAAGTTTGGTACTAAAGTAAAAAGCTGAGGGACCAAAATGGTACTTAAACCAAATTAAAATTTAAAATAACAAATTAGACTAATATTTTTTTAAGTGTTGATTTATTTTAACATTGTAATTTTTAAAGGGAAATTTATCCCTCTTGTCTTCGTTATTTCAGGGGCACATTATGTAGGAATGCGAAAATGTAGAAACCAAAGGTAGGGTCCTTGAAATTTTTTAATTCTTCTTTATTAAAGTTTCAATTTGGCGAAAAGAGTATTTTAACTCATGTACTTTTCGATATTGTTGAAATTAATCCTACAACTTTTTTCTACAATATTTGAACCCCAATCCTTATGTATTGAAATAAATTAACACACTTACTTTTCGGTTGAAATAAATTAGTCAAAATCTAATGTATGAAGTCACGAAATGTCAATTTACTGTGAAAATCAATTATTTATCGTTACTACATTACTGACTTGATATATGTGAAACCCAATTTTGTGACATGGTAGGACATGGACTATTTTTTTGCTAACATAGCCCTAATTGGTTGACCTGGACTACTTATTTCCCCAAAACCTCACCTGCTGGAAAGCTCCCGCCATTATAGCACAAAGATCCAAATAGGCTCCAAAAAAAAAAAAAAAAAAAAAACACTCATTTCTTCCATTTTCTCACTATTTTTGATGGATGTTGTTGTTGCAAAGAACTCCGTAGTACTCCCAAGCTCGAGTCTTCACTTCAAGATACCTACAGAGCCCCGAGGTTGGTCCTCGGGGTAGATACTTTGATGCCTAAGTTAGCAATAATCAGAGCTATCGGATATGAAGCTAGAGTTAAGCTTGAGATCAGTTTCAATTACCTTTTGAGAAGGGCCCTTGGGGGGGGGTATTTATAGCCTTCAAGGGGATGTCCACGTGTTGATCTTTGCAGGAAACCGGGGTCATGTGTGTCAATCATCGCAGATATCTTTTATAAGAAATCAATGTATGTACGGAGCTACTGTAGAGTGAGAGCAAAGGGGACGAGCTCAAGCTCGACTGAGCTCGTCGTTCTTCAAGTAATGTCAAGGTGACTAGATTGTTGGGAATAGCTCAGACTGTCTGAGGTACGTGACCTTGGACTACCATCACTACACTATTCCCCCCCTGAGGTCATTCACTTGTGAATGATAGAGGAGTTTGTATTGGGATTGAAAAGTAATGGCTTAAGTCAAGGCGGGGTTATCATAGCCCAAGATTATGTAATGTACGGCCGCAGCTGAAGTGGATATATCATGACACGTGGTCATGCGATGTATGGTCGGAGCCGAAGTGAAAATATCATGACACGTGGTCATGTGATGTACGGCCAGAGCCAAAGTGAAAATATCATGACATGTGTTCAACTGATGTGCAACTAGAGCTGAAATGAAAATATCATGACACGTGATCATGTGATGTGCGGCTAAAGCTGAAATGAAAATATCATGACACGTGGTCATCTGATGTATGGCCGGAGCCGAAGTGAAATATCATGACATGTGGTCATGTGATGTACGATCGAAGCTGAAGTGAAAATATCATGAGTAAATGTGAATTGATTCAAGAAGTAGTTAATATGGTTTGATTGAATTTAGACTGGTTTTTGAAATGGAACCGAAAAGGAAAATAAAATAAAATAGAATAAGTTAATTTGGGCTGACAGTTATCCTCATGTGACATGCTGTAATAAATGGCGAGTTAGGAATAACTGCCGAATTCGAAAGGACGCAATCGTGACCATTAGATTCAACTGATCATGACCGTTAAGGGGAATGAGGCTTTAGTATAAATAGCTGGGCTTGAGTTATTTAGAATTTACCTTGCTGATTTTATTACAGAGCACTGCCGAAGTGAAACAAGAGAACCTCGTCGTTTGAGCTTGCAGTTGTTGAGTTCAGAGGTCCCATTGGAAGAATGTGTTTTGAGAATCTTCTAAGTGTTTCAGTTCAGCCATCAAAAGTTCAGGTAATGTCATGAACTCAAGCTCAGGTTTTAGCATCTAACTCCAAACCTAGGACTAAGTCTAATATAGGGAAATTAGGAATAGGTTTGAGAGTGAAGTAGAAAGTTAGAGAGAGCTAACTGAAAATCCTAACTATTCTCCTTATCTTACCCCTTGTAGTGAGGGCTTACAGAGCAAAGATGTCATCTGATGATACGTTAAGTGTTGGTAAGGATGAAGAGGTAAAGTTGAGCTTGAGCTTGAGCAGTATTGGTGGGGAAACTTCCAGAAATGGGGGAAGTGAGAGGGGTGGAGGTGAAATGGAAGAGGTGTGAGTTCTTTCCAATATTTTGGAAGTGGATGATATTACAATGAGAAGGAGAAGGTTCTGTCAGAGGTGGTGGGGTATGAGTCTGTATGGAGGAACAGAGATGAGCTTACACATCTGGTGGAGCAGTATGCCATCCCTGAGCACGTCTTGCTTAGACCGGCTGGGGAGATGGAAAGAGTGTGCTTAGCTTCAAAGGGACCATTGGATGCCAATATATGGACATTACTTAACAATTGAGCTTAGGTTTCCAGTGCCCGAGTTGTTAGTGGTGTTATTGAAGGAGTATGGGTTGGGTATAACGCAGCTTGTCCCGAACGCTATTTGGCTAATACTAGGATTCTTAGTTTATTGCCGAACATGAGGTGTTGTCCCCACAATTAACTTGTTCAAATACCTTTTACTAATAAAGGGGGGTAGTAATGAGGAGAAGGGATGGTTTTATTTTACACCCCTGATGGCTGGAGGGGGGGAGGAATTTGTTTAGTGCAGGTCCCTCTTTTATAAAATGGTGGAGAGATAAGTTTCTTTTTGTGGATGACACAAAGTGAGGGAGGGCAGATGCAAACGTGGCCAAGCTTAGTAGATGGAAGAGGAAAAAGGATAACCCAAACAAGTAGTTGTTAAGTGTGGGGAAGGAGGATGAGGTGGAGAGGTTAGAGACGAGGGTTGGGGAGGTGATGGATATCATATACCTTATGAGCCCAGTGATGTTGTAGGTGGCAGAGATCTATGGGCTGAGCTCTATGAGCAGAGGTCGGTTATTTAAATTTAGGCATGTCTGAGGTGCAAATTGAATTAACAATTTACTAACTCTATTTTATTTTGCAGAAGAGATGAATCGATTATTGTTTGGAGGCAAGACAATTGCCCTTCCGAAGAAGAGGTCAAAGGCCCTAACGCCAGCTACCATTGAGGAGAGAGCGGGTGTGACTTTAAGACCTCACCCAAGTGGAGGAGCTCGAGCTGAAGTGGGCCCTAGCTCGGAGCAAAGAAGGAAGAGGGTTGAAGAAGAGGCTGCAACCCAAAAAAGGAAGAGGTTGGGGGAGGTGTAGCCTCCACAAATCGAGGCTTTGGCCGAGTTCGTGCCTCAACCTCCACCTGTTCAAATTGATCCAACTCTGCGAGAAGTGGGGGTGGTGACACATGGAATGGCGAAGGAGTCCTCCATTCCAAGGCAGAAGTCGAGCTTTATTGAGAATGCGAGCAAGACTGCTGCCAAGCGCTTTATTAGATGCACTTTTCTTGAGGTGGACCTCAAGAGAGCTAGGCATGAGGTGGACAAGCATGGAGGCTTTGGCATTGTCTGCCACACACTCGAGGTAAGAGCTAGACAATGAACCTCAGCTCTTCTTTTCTCTCTCTTTTTTTTTTTTTTTTAAACCTCCGCTCTTCTTGTAGACGGCAAACCTTATGAACGCCTTGGCAGTTGAATATTGCAACTGCCTTAAGGAAAGGAATAGCTTCGCTGACAAAAATGACGAGCTCAACTGGTAAAAGGAGTCAGCCAAGTAGAACTTCAATGACCTAACCTCGGAGATCGAGAAGGTTAGGGAGAAGTTGGCTTCTTCTAAGGCGGCCATTGAGGCTGAGGTGGAGAAAAGGAAGAAGTCCGAGGAAGAGTTGGCCAAGGCAAGAGATGAGTTGGCCGAAGTCTGAAGGAAGTCTGAGTTAGAGGTGCACAACTCAGTTGAGCAGCATGTCTCCAACTTCATTAACTCAGCAACTTTCTACGAGATTGTGGACCTCTTCTGCCTACCCACTCTAGTTATGGCCTTCAATGATTATAGAAAAAAGATAAAGGCCCAGAACCCTAAGGTGGATGTGACAAAGGTCACGTTCGGACCTTAGGAGGTTGGAGTGGAGGAGGACGGGGAGAGCAAGACAGTTGAGTTTCGCCTAGATATAACTCTGAGCTGGGAGCGAGATGAGGCTAGACTAACTATGCTCCCCCCAAGTCTGGAGTACGAGTTCGTTGCCATTGATGAAGATGGGGCCAAGGTTCCTGAGAATACCGAGGTCGAGGACAATATTGCCGGGCAAGAGGTGGACTAGCAACATCAAGTGATCGACTGAGCTCGGCTAGCTCATTCCTCTTCCTTCTTTTGAAATTGTATATTTAAAAACACTTGTATTTTATTTCTAAGTTAATGAATTAGAGTTCGAAAAATTAATGTTATTTATAATTTTGGTATGAATGCATGATTTCTGACCTTAAACGTAACTTGAAAGACTTAAAAAAGGTATCAGAATTGAAATAAAATGTCTGACCTCGACTGTTGAAGTAAAACAGTAGAAGTAAAACCATGGTAGCCGAACTCATATTAAACCCAAAGCTGAAGTGAATTTCTAACTTCGACCTCAGAAATTAAAAAATTAAAAAGTAGAACAATAAGATTGAACCCAAAGCTGAAGTGAATTTCTAACTTCGACTTCAGAAACTAAAATATATAATGATAAGATCAAGTTTTATTAAGAATAAAACTTTCTCAAATTATTTACATTCCATACTCCAGGAACTCTTTTGCCCTCAGCATCTATAAGCACATAAGCGCCGGGGTGAGGTATTTTAGCTATTACATATGGACTTTCCTAGTTTGGTGCCAGCTTGCCGAAACGGGTTTCGAAGTCGATAAGTCCTGCCTTCCTAAGGATGAGGTCACCAACTTTGAAAGTTCGAGTTCGAACTCGTTTATTGCAGTAGTTGGCTACTTTCCGCTTATATGCTAATGTTCGAAGCTGAGCTTGCTCGCGGACTTCGTCTGAAAGATTGAGGTTTTCTCTAAGTAGCTACTCATTTTGTGTTCCATCGAAATGGCTCACTCTTAGGCTTGGGACACCTATTTTGACAAGAATAACTGTCTCGATCCCAAAAGCCAAGTGGTAGGGTGTTTTGCCTAATTGAGAGAAGTTATAGTTTTAGGGTTTTGCCTATTAACATAGCTATTTATAAGCTTGGATCAAAAGAAAATAAGAAATTGGAAAGTCGTGTACCTGTGACTGTTCGACTCGTAGTTCGATAGATTCAAAGAACATTGTTGAGCTCGTCCACCTACTTGGCTTTGACCTAATCTAACCTCGGTTTAATCCCCTCCAAGATTGCTATATTGACAGACTCAACCATTTTGTTTGCCTCAGGGTGATAAACTGAAGTGAATACCAACTTTATTCCATAGCTGGAGCAGAAGCCTTTGAAAGAGGTATAGTTGAATTGAGGCCTATTGTCAGTGATAACTTGATTTGGGATTCCATATCTGTAGATAACTGAGTTGAATACAAAATCTTCAATCTTTTTCAAGGTCAGAGTAGAAAGAGGTCGACTTCCACCCATTTTGTGAAGTAATCAACTGTTACGATCAAATGTGTCACTCCCCTTGTACCTTTGACAAAAGGACTCAGAATATCTATTCCTCATTAGGCAAAAGGCTATGGTGCAACCAAGTTGGTGAGTTCTTTTGCTGGTTGGTGAGTGAGGTGTGCAAAGAATTAGCATTTCTGGCACTTCTAAACATACTTATTGGCATCTTCTTGCATATTGGGCCAATAGTATCCTTGCCGGAGCACCTTGTGGGTTAGAGTCCAAGCTCCGATATGACTACCACATACACCTTTATGCACCTTACGAAGAGTATACTCAACCTCGTAAAGGGTTAAATAGTGAAGGAGTAGAAGTGAATATGACCTCTGATACAAGATGCCATCAACCAAGGTGTACCGAGATGTCTTTCTCCGCAACTTCATCTCTTCTAGCTTGTCATTTGGGATAGTTCCATCTCGGAGATAAGTTTTAATGGGATCTGTCCAACTGGGGGTTTCAGGATCAACATTGACCTCCATCACCTTTGACCTCTGAAAGCTTGGTTCATCAAGGACCTTAACATAGAAGGACCTCATTCCTCGATAGCTATCAGAAGCTAACTTTGACAATGAATCTGCATGCTCATTCTTTGCTCTCGGGACTTTTGTGAGCTGGAATCTCTCAAATTGGCATTTGAGTTCGGAGACCACGACTAAGTACTTAGCTAGGGTAGGATCTATAACCTCACCTGTAGAATTCTCCAGGTTGACTACAAGTTATGAGTCACTGTAAACCTGTAGAGATTTAACCTTCAGCTCCACTGCTAGACGAAGTCCAAGGAGCAGCGCCTCATACTCGGCCATGTTATTTGTTGCTTCGTAGTTGAATTTCAAGGCATGCTCACTTTGGAAGTTCTCGGGCCCAATTAGGACTGCTCCAGCGCCTGACCCTCTACTATTAGATGACCCATCAACGTAGAGAGTCTATAGCTCGGCTTCAGAATTGGTGTTTTCTTGGCCGGAGGTACATTCTACCACAAAATTGGCCAAAGCTTGAGCTCGGATTGTTGATCTCTGCTGGAATGTGATATGGAATTCATCCAGCTCTATCGCCCACTTGATGAGCTTACTTGAGCACTCCGGCTTTTGCAAAATCTGCCTCAAGAAATGGTCAGTTAGCACAATAATAGAATGGGCCTGGAAGTATGGCCTCAATTTCCTAGTTGTGGTAACAACTACTAGAGTACACTATGGAGTACCTCAGTTCGGCTCCTTGTACCACCTTGTTGGCATAGTACACTAGCTTCTGTTGTTGTCCCATTTCCCTGACCAAGACTGAGCTTATCGTTGTGTCGGATATCTCGAGGTTGAGGTACAAGATCTTGCCCTGTTCATTCTTAGTTAACAGAGGTGGTGAGCTAAGGTATGCCTTGAGCTCATCAAAGGCAGCTTAATACTCTAAGGTCCATTCAAACTTTTTAGGTTTTCCTGCTTCATCTTTTTGCACCGCAGACCTCAGGATTTTGAAAAAGCGCAGGCATTTATTAGCTGACTTTGAAATGAATCTGTGCAGAGCTGCCACCTGTCCAGTTAGGCATTGCACATCCTTGACTGACCTTGGCAGTTTCATCTCTTCTATTGCCTTAATCTTCCTGGGATTGACCTCTATCCCGCTCTTAGAGACCATGAACCCTAGGAATTTACTAGATTTGACGCCAAAGACGCACTTGGCTGGGTTCAACCTCTTGCTGTGCTTTCTTAAGCTATCAAACGTTTCTCCCAAGTTGGTCAAGTGATCTTCTGCCTTGAGGCTCTTGACCACTATATCGTCAATGTAAACTTCCAAATTCCTACCAATTTGAGCTTGGAATACAATCGTCACCATCTTTTGATACATAGCCCCTGCATTCTTCAGTCCAAATGGTATCATCACGTAGCAATAGATCTCATCACCAGCATAAAAGGAGGTTTTCACCTCGTCCTCGGATGCCATGTGGACTTGGTGATACTTGAGTAAGCATCTAAAAGACAGAGCCTTTCATTTCTGGATGTGGCTTCTACCAACTTATCTATACTTGGCAAGGGATGGCAGTCCTTCGGGCAAGCATCATTAAGATTAGTGTAATCAATGCACATTCTCCATTTGCCGTTCGACTTCTTGACTAGAACAAGATTAGCAACCCATTCGTAGTAGTCTACTCTTTTTACAAACCCTGCTTGCAAGAGCTTCTGTACCTTTTCCTTGATTGCTTGCATCCTCTCTCCTCCAAATAGGCGCCTTTTATGAGCTACGGGCTTCTTCAGAGGGTTAGTACTTAGCTTGTGTACCTCGACCGAGGTGGGTATCCCGGGCATATCAACTGAGGTCCATGCAAATACATCTTTATTTGACTTCAAAAAGCCAATAAGCTCTTTTCTTTCTTTCGAGCTCAGCTTGGTCCCAATCTGTGTCTTCTTAGTGGGGTCACTATCATCAATCTGCACCTCTTCCACCTCTTCTACCGGGGTGGCCTTGGCCTCATTTTCAGGTTTGTTATTCAGTAGCTCAATGCCTATCACTTGTTGGCTATTAGGGGCTTCTAGTTGAAATTTGATGGCTGAGCTGCTCGTTTATCTTTCTGAAGTCAAGTAACAAAGGTTATGTAGCAATGTCTAGCTATCTCTTGGTTACCTTTGAGAGTCGCCACTCCCATGGGCGTAAAGAACTTCATGCATTAGTGGGATTATGAAACGACATCTCTGATCTCGGTCAAAGTAGGACGTCCGATGACTGTGTTGAAAGACAAAGACATCTTCACAACCAAAAACTGGACTAAAGGGGTCACATATGTCCTTTTGGAAGCAGAGGCCACATTGAGTCTCAAGACTCCTTCTATAGGAACTGGTTGGTTGTTGAACCGATAGATGGGTCCATCATATTTTTTTGTAAAAGAGCAGGATCGAGGCCAAGACTTTCAAAGCAGTGGTAATACATGATGTTAAGAGCGCTTCCAGTGTCAACAAGGACACGTTGAACTTCACAATTATTGACAATGACTGAGGTGGCTAATGGGTCATCGTGAGGTGTGACAACACCATCAAGATCAGTTGAAGTGAATGTTATAGGTTGGCTCTTCTGATCTGCCTCATCAGACTTCTTCTTTTGAGTTCGGTTCTGATGTTTCACCTCCCTCACATTCAGCTTTTGTTGGTTGGAGCTCATCCCTCCTGTTTCGAGGCCACCATTGATCATGTGAATGACATGGGAAAGTGGAGGAAGTGGGGGTGGGGTCTGTTGATATCCGACACTAGTTTTGTTGCCTGCATCTTGGGGCCCTTGGGACTATTGTCCCTACTCCCTCACAAATTTGAGTTGGTCTCTGCTTGACATATATTCGTTTAGCATCCCTTTTCTAGCTAAACTCTCCAGCTCAAATTTGAGACTGCTACATTCTTCTGTTGTGTGACCATGATCCTTATGGAAGTCACAATATTGGCTGTGATCTCTTGAGGTGGGTAAACTTTGCATAGGTGGAGGCCTTCTGAGCTCTATTTTATTCTTGATCTGCATTAGGATCTATGACCTCAACAAAGTGAACGGGGTCCAAATAGGTTGCTTTGCTGCGGTTTGTGGAGTACTCGAGCTCGGCTTATCAACTTTGGGAATAGGAAGTGGACCTCGGTTCTTGTAACCCTAAATTTCTTTCGGCTCTTTGCTTCTTCTCTCCAGGTCAGAGCTCTTACTTTTTTACCCACTATGGGTTTGCCAGAGAGAGCATACTCTTCCGCTGTGATGAACCTACGAGACCTCTCATTTGCTTGATCAAACATCGAAGGCGGATGCTTTCTTAGGTTATCCCGGAACCTATCATGCTTGAGACCTTGGATCATGGCAGCTAGTGCTACAGCCTGGTGAGTTCCGACATGGTTTTCTGTATTAACTTTCGACTTGAGAATTTTGTGGCAAATGATGTCGCCAACTCGGTATATGAAGTAATCGAACTTGGCTGCAAACTATAATACCAAGTCCGAGCATTGCCATGCAATGTAGAGGGGAACATCTTGCACATCAAAGCATCAAAGGCATTCTAAGCTTGCATGACAGAGTAGAAGGCATGCAAGTGATCATCAGGGTCCTTAATCCCATCATAGGTTTCAAATTGGGGCATCTTGAATCCGGGTGGATAGAGTTCTTAGAGGATGTTGGCACTTAAGGGAGTAGGGATTGAGGTTGAGCTAGGGGTGCTACATTTAGGTTATTTGTCAGCATTTTCTTGAGGTTATCCAACCTTTTGGAGACATTCGACATAATTGGTTGAGGTGGATTGGGTGGTGGAGGTGCCATGCGGGACTGAGCTTGGTTCTCACTTCGAGATGGTCCTGCACTTCAGACCTGAGAGTTTGCATTTTGCTGAGGTTGGGGATTTGGTGCATGATTGACCGAGTTCAAGAGGGTAATAAGTGGGTCCCTTAGATTATCTCTGGCTAATAGTTGTGCAAGCACGAGCTGAAATACTTTGAATTATCGTTGCATGGCATTGAGTTGGGTAGTTATGACGTCAATTGAGGTCACCTCTGGATTCTGTGGATTATTCTCTCCTGCCTCCTTTACATGTTGATTTTGGGCAACTGAGGTTGGTGCAATGTGAGGTGTAGTGTGAAATATTTTGAATTATTGTTGCATGGCATTGAGCTGGGTAGTTATGACGTCAGTTGGGGCCACCTTTGGATTTTGTGGGTTATTCTCTCCTGCTTCCTTTACATGCTAATGTTGGGCAACTGAGGTTGGTGCAACGTGAGGTGCAGTGTTAGCACCAAAGAACTGACCTCTTCCTCGACCTTGTTGAGGACTCCCATGTTGCGTTGAACGAATATTAACCATCATAGCAACCACTGACAAGGCTTTTAATTCGTTTCCCACAGATGGCACCAATGTTGTTGCAAAGAACTCCGTAGTACTCCCAAGCTCGGGTCTTCACTTTGGGATACCTGCAGAGCACCGAGGTTGGTCCTCGAGGTAAATACTTCAATGCCTAAGTTAGCAATAATCAAAGCTACCAGATATAAAGCTAGAGCTAAACTTGAGATCGGTTTCAATTATCTTTTGAGGGCCCTTGGGGGGTATTTATATCCTTCAAGGGGATGTCCATGTGTTAATCTTTGCGGAAATTGGGGTCATGTGTGTCAATCATCGAAGATATCTCTCATAAGAAATTTGTGTATGTACGGAGCTACTGTAGAGCGAGAGCAAAGGGGACGAGCTTGAGCTTGACTGAGCTCATTGTTCCTTAAGTAACGTCAAGGTGACTAAATTGTTGGGAATAGCTCATGCTATCCAAGGTACGTGACCTCGGACTACCATCACTACAGATGCTTTTTTCCATCATCGAAAGAGAGGGTCAGGGATAAGCTGAAATCATCAATTTGTTGTTTTTGTATGACGGATCATGGCGAGGCAGCGACGATAAACCTGGACGAGTTGAAGCCAAGGACGCCGCGGTCGCTTTGCACATGGCTGAAATCGACGGCGCATGAACTAGAGATCAAGGATAGGTGCAAGAATTTGATCGCTAGAATCGAGAACCAAGGAGGTCGCAAACAGCGTGATTGGTCTGACTTTAGCTATGATCCTTTGAGCTACGCATTTAACTTCAAGGATGAAGTGAGTTGGGTAGACGAGATGCCGGTTATTAGCTTCTCATCCCGACTTTGCACCTCGCCGAAGTAGATCATTGGGACCAACTATAAAAACGATCCTTTTGTGTTGGCAATGAGGGACATCGTTCTGTATAGCTAACGAGAACAGATTCATTCAGTTTATTCAACTAATAAAAAAAAATTCAGAAATTTGGAAGAATATTGTAATCGTCAGATCGGACCATCGGAATAATAAATCTAGCTCCTAAAACTCCATTTTTTCTCTATATCATTCAAGAAATCAAAAGCTCGAATTTTTTTGATTTCTAGTACATTTTCTCACCCAATTTCCAAACCTTAGCTTCCTTCTCTCTTCCTTTTTCTAGGTTTCTAAGGGTTTTCTTGTTTTTCTTTTCTCTAGAAAGAAAAAGAACCCATAAACATAGTGAGTATGGTGTTTGATTATGTGATTTTTTTCTTGGATTGTTTGATAGAGGACAGGGAATTTTTTAGGGGTTTTTGTTTCTAGTTTGTAAGTGATGAGTTTAATTTTTATATGCATTTATCTACCCTTTTTAAGCTTAGAATTAAATTTTATGGGTCTTTTGTAACTTAGTTTCACCTTTATTTATATTAAATTCATTATTTGTGGGTGGAAATTAAGATAGGAATTAATTTTGTAATAAGTGACAATTTGCACATGCTGCAGTAATTTAACCATATCTTTTTCTCTAGGTATCGGATTGAGTTGATTCTTCAAGCGTTGGAAAGCTAAGAAGCAGAGCTACAATTGATGTTTAAGGAGCTCAACCCAGTTCCTTCTGTATCAATACAGACTTTAAGTTGAATTTGACGGTTTTGACAATGGACAAAGTGCAGAAATAAAGAGAATTGGGCTATGTTTTCTAGTTGTGGGCCAACTGCAGTCCAGACCCAAAACAAAGCCCAATTCCCATGTCTTCTAGGGTTAAGAGAAATAAGGGCTTCTAATTTCTGAAGATATATATGCGAGGAGCCCCATAGACGCAAGGGAGAGTTGTTTTGCGCAAGAGGTCAAGAGCACCCAGCCGCCCAAAATCCCAGCCACCCGCATCTGTTGCTCACCAGCAGAAGAAGAGGACACCAACATGCAATACCCAATCAGTTCGCATCTGAACAAGGAGAAGAAGCCCCGAAAATCTGTTCACCAGCAGAAGGGAGAATGCCCACCCAGATCTGTTCGTGAAAGAGCTAACGCCGCTGACAGCCTCTGTTCTTCTCAACCAGCTTTGTTAGGGAGGGACAGCAGCACAAGTTTGGCTTGTTCTTCATTGGACGGGTGTTGTTGATTCTTAATTTGAATTTTTTTATCATGATTGTCTGCTGGAATTACCGAATTATGGCTGCTGTTGACAACATAATCATGCATAGCTAAATTTTTTTGAACTAGGGATGGATGAATTTTAATTTTTGGACTATGTGACTGTTTTCGTTAGTTTAATTCAATAGTTATTGGTTATTTGCATGATGAGTTTATATTATTGAGTTTAATGCATTGAAAGCCTGATCACTTTTCAATTGATTTAGTGATTTATGCATGAACTTGAGAAAGAATTGTGTAGATTAGACCAATAATAATATAAACCGTGTGTTAGACTATGAGATCGAGAGGTAATTAGCTCACATGTGGTAGTGGAGGAAGAGAAGAGAGTTAGTAGCTCTCCCTTCTTAAGCTAGAGGTTTCTATAAAATTTAATGCTCATTAGTTTGTTTAAAATTACATAGAGATATGATTAATTTAGCAAACAAATGAAGGTTTAGCTTGACTTGAGAAAGCTGGTTAATTAATTTAGGGGAATTCGTCATCTCATGCAATAACACTATTATTTGAATTTGAATTAAATTAATAAAACAGTTGCATAATTCAGAATTAAATGAAATCCAAACCCTAGTTCCTTCTCATTCATAGTTTCTTTAATTTAGAAAATTCTTTAGTTTAATTTCCTTAGTTTACTTAGTTTTCTTTTAAATAGTTTAATTTTTCCCATTAATTGGTTAATTCAATTTAGGTTAGATTAATAGTGTCTTGGTAGTGTAGGATAGTCCTCGAGGGAATGATATCTTACACATCTTATACTGCATAATCGATTAGGTTCACTTGCCTAAAAGTAGTGCGTATTCGGTGCATCAAGTTTTTGGCGCCGTTGCCGGGGACTAGTCGTCTACATATTAAGATTAATAATTTGGCCTTAGATTGAATTTTTTTTTTCTTTTTTCTTTTTCTTTCTTGATTGGTTGTTTTTTTTTTTTGTTTTTATTCTTTATTTATCTTAGTTTTATTTTTTTTTACTTTTTGATTTTTTTTTTAGGATATTAGTGCATGACCCGTAGTAGTGGTGGTGATCTTGTTCCATTTGATCCAGAAATTGAGAGAACTTTTAGAGAGTTCTTAAGAGAGCAAAAGCAAAACATCATGGCAGAAGAAGGTGAAGGACAAAATAATGCACGCACTCTTGGTTCATATGCTACCCCATCCCTTGAAGGAATAGCATCCAGCATTAAAAGGCTAGCAATTCAAGCCAATAACTTTGAAATCAAACCAGCTATCATTCAAATGATCCAACAAACTGTCCAATTTAGTGGTTTGCCTAATGAAAATCCTTATTTGCATATTGCTAGTTTTCTTGAAATTTGTGATACTTTTAAGGCTAATGGTGTTAGTAATGAGTCTGTTAGGCTTACATTATTTCCATTTTCTTTGCGTGATAAAGCCAAGAGTTGGCTTCAATCTTTTCCTATAGGTCATTTTACCATATGGAATGTTTTGGTAGATAAATTCATAGCTAAATTTTTTCCTCCTTCGAAAACAACTAAGTTGAGAAATGACATTACTACTTTTGTTCAATTTGATAATGAGTCATTATATGAGGCATGGGAAAGATTTAAGGAATTGCTTAGGCAATGTCCAAATCATGGTTTACTTGTTTGGCTCCAAGTGCAGACTTTTTATAATGGTATGACTCCTCTTAATCGTTCTATAATTGATGCAGCTGCAGGGGGTAATCTTATGAATAAGACAGAGGAGGATGGTTATAAGCTGTTAGATGAAATGGCCTCTAATAGCTATCAATGGACTAATGATAAAGCTACCAAAAAGGGAGTTGGTTTACATAATGTTGATGCTTTTACTTCTGTATCTGCTCAAATTTCTGTTTTGAATAAAAAGTTAGATAATTTAGGAGCATCAGCAATGAGTATTTCATCTAATAGTTGCTGTGAATTGTGTGGGCAATTTGGTCATGCTAGTGTTGAATGTCAAGTAGGCAATTCAGTTCAATCTTCTAATGAGCAAGCTAATTTTGTTTCTTCTGGTGGTAGGTCTAATTTTAATCCATACTCCAACACCTACAATCCAGGATGGAGGAGCCATCCTAATTTTTCATGGAGTAATAATCAAGTGAGAGTACCACCAGGTTTTCAACAACAAAATCAGCAAGAAAAGAAGTCAAATTTGGAGGAGTTGGTGCACAAATTTGTTAGTAGTACAAAAGCACGGTTTCAAAATCAAGAAATAAGGTTTCAAAATCAAGATGCTGCTATTCAGAATATAGAAATGCAACTTGGACAGATTGCTGATATGGTTTCTAGAAGAGTTCAAGGGGGTTTGCCAAGCAATAGTGAAAAGAATCCAAGGGAGCAATTGAAGGCTATCACTTTGAGGAGTGGAAAAGAACTTAAAGAGGTAGGACAATCTGATGGGAAAGAAGAAGGTGTGGAAGCTGGTGAATCAAAGCAAGAGGAGGAGCCTAAAAGACTTTTTCATGATCCGAATGTCAAGCCTTATAAGCCGAAAATCCCTTTTCCCCAAAGATTTTTGCAAGCTAATTTAGACAAGAAGTTTTCTAAATTTTTAGAGATGTTTAAAAAGTTACATATTAATATTCCTCTTATTGATGCTATTTCGCAGATGCCAAGCTATGCAAAATTTTTTAAGGAGATCCTTGCCAATAAAAGGAAGTTAGAGGAGTTCAAGATGGTGAAGTTAAATGAAGAATGCTCTGCTATTCTTCAGAATAAGTTACCTCCTAAGTTGAAGGATCCAGGGAGTTTTTCTATTCCTTGTATTATTGGCAATGTTAATTTTGATAAGGCTTTGTGTGATTTGGGTGCTAGTATTAATTTGATGCCTTTTCATGTATTTAGGAAACTTGGATTAGGAGAACCTTCACCTACCACAGTCTCTCTTCAATTGGCGGATAGAAGCATAAAATATCCAAGAGTGGTAGAGGATGTTTTGGTAAAAGTTGACAAATTTATTTTTCCTGTTGATTTTATTGTTCTTGACATGGAAGAGGATTTTGAAATGCCTTTAATTCTTGGGAGACCATTCCTTGCTACTGGTAAAGCTCTTATTTATGTTCAACAAGGGAAACTTAGCCTTAGAATACATGATGAGGAGATTGTTTTTAATGTGTTTGATGCTATGAAAAATTGTGATCATGATGGCAGTGCTGTTTTAAGGATTGATGTGGTAGACAATGTAGTGGCTGAAATTTTTAATGCTTCTAGATTAGATGATCCTATTGATAATTGCATTGTTAATGCTTTGGATGTGAAAGTTGATAGTGCAGACAATAACATTTTGGAGGCAGCAGCTATTCTTGGGGAAAAATGCCATAGGCAGCCACAAAAAGGAGGAAATTTTCTGCCCTTAGATGCACCGTCCACTGTGATAGTCAAGCCATCCAAAGAGGAGCCCCCTACTCTTGAATTAAAACCTCTTCCTTCTCAATTAAAGTATGTTTATTTGGGTGATTCAAATAACTTACCTGTTATAATTTCTGCTTCTTTGATAGGAATAGAGGAGGAGAAACTCTTAAGGGTGTTGCGAGAACACAAAGGAGCTATAGGATGGAGCATAGCAGATATCAAAGGAGTTAGCCCTTCGGTTTGCATGCATAAAATTCTGCTGGAGGAGGGGCACAAGCCGATGGTTCAGCCTCAAAGATGCCTTAATCCGAACATGCAAGAGGTGGTAAAAAAAGAGGTAATCAAATGGTTGGATGCAGGTATTATTTTTCCTATCTCTGATAGTACTTGGGTGAGTCCTGTGCAAGTAGTGCCTAAAAAGGGTGGGACAACTGTGGTAAAAAATGAAAATGATGAATTAATTCCCACTAGAATAATAACAGGGTGGAGAGTGTGCATAGATTATAGGAAACTTAATGAAGCTACTAGAAAAGACCATTATCCATTGCCATTTATTGATCAAATGATTGAGAAACTTGCTGGACATGAATATTATTGTTTTTTGGATGGTTATTCTGGTTATCATCAAATTCCTATACCCCTGAGGATCAAGAGAAAACAACATTTATTTGCCCATATGGTACTTTTGCTTTTAGACGAATGCCTTTTGGTTTGTGCAACGCTCCAGGTACGTTCCAAAGATGTGTGATGGCTTTATTTGCTGAATTTGTTGATGAGTTCATGGAAATTTTTATGGATGATTTTTCAGTTTTTGGCTCTTCATTTGATGGATGCTTACATAATCTGTCTAGGGTGCTTAAAAGATGTGAGGAAACTAACTTAGTATTGAATTGGGAAAAATGCCATTTTTTGGTTAGGGAAGGTATAGTGCTAGGTGATAAAGTATCCTCTAAAGGTATTGAAGTTGATAGAGCTAAAGTTGAGATAATTGAAAAGCTTGCTCCTCCTAAATCAATTAAAGAAATTAGAGGTTTTCTTGGACATGCTGGCTTTTATAGGAGATTTATTAAGGACTTCTCAAAAATTGCTAAGCCTCTTACTAATCTCTTGGTTAAGGAAACACCATTTTTCTTTGATGATGATTGTATGAATGCTTTTCAATTGTTGAAAGAGAAATTGGTTAATGCTCCTATTGTTGTTGCACCTTGTTGGGATTTGCCTTTTGAGATAATGTGTGATCCTAGTAATGATGCTTTAGGTGCAGTTTTGGGACAAAGAAAAGATAGGAAATTTCACACCATTTATTATGCAAGTAGAATAATGAATGATGCTCAAAAGAATTACACTACTATTGAAAAAGAGTTGCTTACTGTGGTGTTTGCTTTTGAAAAGTTTAGGCCTTATCTAATTTTGTCCAAGGTGATTGTTCATACTGATCATTCTGCACTTAAATATCTGCTTGCTAAAAAAGAGGCCAAACCTAGGTTGTTGAGATGGATTTTGTTGCTGCAAGAGTTTGACTTAGAAATTAAGGATAAAAAAGGTGTAGAAAATTCTATTGTTGATCATTTGTCTAGGTTAGATGAGGTGCATGTGGAATGTGGGGATGATCAACTTTTGCTTGATGAGTTTCCAGATGAGCAATTGTGTTTAGTTTCTTTGTGTGCTTTGTCTTCTTTACCTTGGTACACAGATTTTGTTAATTATCTTGTGAGTTCCTGACTTATCTTTTCAACAGAAAAAGAAGTTCTTTTCTGATATTAAACATTATTTGTGGGAGAAACCATTTCTTTACAGGATATGTGGCGATGGAATGATTCGGAGATGTGTACCACAAGAAGAGGTAGATACAATTTTGAGTTTTTGTCATGACAAAGAAGCTGGTGGTCATTTTGGTGCCTCCAAAACAACATCTAAGGTTTTGCAATGTGGATTTTATTGGCCTTCTTTATTTAAAGATGCTTATGCTTATGTGAGCGCATGTGACCAATGCCAAAGAACAGGTAATATTTCTAGGAGACATGAAATGCCTTTGACTAATATTTTGGTGTGTGACATATTTGATGTTTGGGGCATAGATTTCATGGGTCCTTTTCCTTCATCTTTTGACAAAGCATATATTCTTGTTGCGGTAGATTATGTGAGTAAATGGGTAGAAGCTGTTGCATGTCCTACTAATGATGCTAGGGTGGTGGTTAAATTTTTGAAAAGTAATATTTTCATTAGATTTGGCACACCTAGGGCTGTTATTAGTGATGGAGGTAAACACTTTTGTAATAGGCAATTTGAAAATTTATTGGCTAAATATGGTGTTACCCATAAAATTGCTACTCCATATCACCCTCAAACAAGTGGACAAGTTGAGGTGTCTACTAGGGAATTGAAAAGAATTTTGGAAAAGACAGTTAACTTGTCTAGAAAAGATTGGTCACTCAAATTAGATGATGCACTTTGGGCTTATAGGACAACTTACAAAACCCCGATAGGTATGTCTCCTTATAGGTTAGTTTTTGGTAAGGCTTGTCACCTTCCTGTGGAACTTGAGCATAAGGCATATTGGGCTATTAAATACTTGAATTTTGATTTGAAAGATGCAGGTGAACATAGAAAATTGTAGTTGAATGAATTGGAAGAACTACGACTTGCTGCCTATGAAAATGCCAAGATCTACAAGGAAC